TCTAGAATACATATGTAGAATGTGCAGATTTTCTACATTAGGTATTTCTGCTAATGCCATCCCTCCCCTAACACCCCAGCCCCAACAGGCCTTGGTGTGTAATGTTCCCCTTCCCGTGTCCATGTGTTCTCATTGTTCAATGCCCCTTATGACTGAAAACATGTGATGTTTGGTTTTCCATTCTTATGCTACTTTGCTGAGAATGATGGTTTCCAGCCTCATCCATGTCACTGCAAAGGACATGAACTCATACTTTTTATGGCTGCATAGTATTCCATGGCGTATATGTGCCACATTTTCTTTATCCAGTCTATCATTGATGGGCATTTGGGTTGGTTCCAAGTCTTTGCTATTGTGAACAGTGCTGCAATAAACATATGTGTGTATGAGTCTTTATAGTAGAATGATTTATAATCCTTCGGGTATATACCCAGTAATGAGATTGCTGGGTCAAATGGTATTTCTGGTTCTAGATCCTTGAGGAATTGCCACATTGTCTTACACAATGGTTGAACTAATTTATACTCCCACCAATGGTGTAAAAGGATTCCTATTTCTCCACATCCTCTCCAGCATCTGTTATTTCCTGACTTTCTAATCATTGCCATTCTAACTGATGTGAGATGGTATCTCATTGTGATTTTGATTTGCATTTTTCTAATGACCAGCGATGATGAGCTTTTTTTCATGTGTTTGTTGACCCCATAAATGTCTTTTTTTGAGAAGTGGCTGTTCATATCCTTTGCCCACTTTTTGATGGTGTTGCTTGTTTGTTTGTTTTTCTTGTAAATCTGTTTAAGTTCCTTGTAGATTCTGGGTACTAGCCCTTTGTCAGAAGGATAGATTGCAAAAATTTTCTCTGATTCTGTAGGTTGCCTGTTCACTCTGATGATAGTTTCTTTTGCCGTGCAGAAGCTCTTTAGTTTAATTAGATTGCATTTGTCTATTTTGTTTTTGTTGTTATTGCTTTTGGTGTTTTAGTCATAAAGTCTTTGCCCATGGCTATATCCTGAATGGTACTGCCTCGTTTTCTTCTAGGGTTTTTACAGTTTTAGATCTAATGTTCAAGTCTTTAATACATCTTGAGTGAATTTTTGTATAAGTTGTAAGGAAGGGGTCCAGTTTTAGTTTTCTCATATGGCTAGCCACTTTTCCCAACACCATTTATTAAATAGGGAGTCCTTTCCCCATTGCTTGTTTTTGTCAGGTTTGTCAAAGATCAGATGGTTTTAGATATGTGCCATTATTTATGAGGCCTCTGTTCTGTTCCATTGGTGTATATATTTGTTTTGGTACCAGTACCATACTATTTTGGTTACTGTAGCCTTGTAGTATAGTTCAAAGTCAGGTAGCATGATGCCTCTAGTTTTGTTCTTTTTGCTTAGAAATGTCTTGGCAATACGGGCTCTTTTTTGGTTCCATATGAAATTTGAAGTAGTTTTTTCAGAATTCTCCTGTGAAGAAAGTCAAGGGTAGCTTGATGGGGATAGCACTGAATCTATAAATTACTTTGGGCAGTATGGCCATTTTTACAATATTGATTCTTCCTATCCATGAGGATGAAATGTTTTTCCATTTGTTTGTGTCTTCTCTTATTTCCTTGAGCAGTGGTTTGTAGTTCTCCTTGAAGAGGTTCTTCACATCCCTTGTAAGTTGTATTTCTAGGTATTTTATTCTCTTTGTAGCAATTGTGAATGGGAGTTCACTCATGATTTGGCTCTCTCTCTTTCTATTATTGGTGTATAGGAATGCTTGTAATTTTTGCACATTGATTTTGTATCCTAAGACTTTGCTGAAGTTGCTTATCAGCTCAAGGAGATTTTGGGCTGAGACGATGGGGTTTTCTAAATATACAATCATGCCATCTGCAAACAGAGACAATTTGACTTTTATTCTTCCTATTTGAATACCCTTTATTTCTTTCTCTTGCCTGATTGCCCTGGCCAGAACTTCCAATATTACACTGAATAGGAGTGGTGAGAGTGGGCATCCTTGTCTTGTTCCAGTTTTCAAAGGGAATGCTTCCAGCTTTTGCCCATTCAGTATAATATTGGCTGCGGATTTGTCATAAATAGCCCTTATTATTTTGAGATACATTCCATCAATACCCAGTTTGATTGTTTTTAGCATGAAGGGGTTTTGAATTTTATCAAAGGCCTTTTCTGCATCTATTGAGATAATCATATGGTTTTTGTCATTGGTTCTGTTTATGTGATGGATTATGTTTATTGATTTGCATAAGTTGAACCAGCAAATCCCAAGGATGAAGCCAACTTGATTTTGGTGAATAAGCTGTTTGAGGTGCTGCTGGATTCAGTTTGCCAGTATTTAATTGAGGATTTTCGCATAGATGTTCATTAGGCATATTGGCCTGAAATTTTCTTTTTTTGTTGTGTCTCTGCCAGGTGTTGGTATCAGGATAATGCTGGCCTCATAAAATGAGATAAGGAGGAGTCCCTCTTTTTCTATTGTTTGGAATAGTTTCAGAAGAAATGGTACCAGCTCCTCTTTGTACCTCGGGTAGAATTCGGCTAGGAATCTGTCTGGTCCTGGGCTTTTCTTGGTTGGTAGGATATTATTTACTGCCTCAATTTCAGAACTTGTTATTGGTCTATTCAGGGATTCAACTTCTTCCTGGTTTAGTCTTGGAAGGATGTGTGTGTTTAGAAATGTATCAATTTCTTCTAGATTTCCTAGTTTTTTTGAGTAGAGGTGTTTATAGTATTCTCTGATGGTAGTTTGTATTTCTGTGGGATCAGTGGTGATACCCTCTATCATTTTTTGTGTGTGTCTATTTGATTCTTCTATGTTTTCTTCTTTATTAGTCTGGCTAGCAGTCTATATATTTTGTTAATCTTTTCAAAAAACCAGCTCCTGGATTCATTGATTTTTTTAAAGGGTTTTTTATGTCTCTATATCCTTCAGTTTCGCTTTGATCTTAGTTTTTTTCTTGTCTTCTGCTAGCTTTTGAATTTGTTTGCTCTTGCTTCTCTAGTTCTTTTAATTGGGATGTTAGGATGTCAATTTTAGATCTTTCCTGCTTTCTCCTGTGGGTATTTACTGCTATAAATTTCCCTCTAAACACTGGTTCAGCTGTGTCCCAGAGATTCTGGTTCACTGTTTCTTTGTTCTTATTGGTTTCAAAGAACTTATTTATTTCTGCCTTAATTTTGTTATTTACCCAGTAGTCATTCAGGAGCAGGTTGTTCAGTTTCCATGTAGTTGTGCAGTTTTGAGTGAGTTTCTTAACCCTGAGTTCTAATTTGATTGCACTGTGGTCTGAGAGACTGTTACGATTTCCGCTCTTTTGCATTTTTCGCTTCCACTTATGTGGTCAATTTTAGAATAAGTGTGATGTGGTGCTGAGAAGAATGTATATTCTGTTCATTTGGAGTGGAGAGTTCTGTAGATGTCTGTTAGGTCTGCTTGGTCCAGAGTTCAGTTCAAGTCCTGAATATCCTTATTAATTTTCTGTCTGGTTGATCTGTCTGATATTGACAGTGGGATGTTAAAGTCTCCCACTCTTATTCTGTGGTAGTCTAAGTCTCTTTGCAGGTCTCTAAGAACTTGCTTCATAAATCTGGGCACTCCTGTATTGGGTGTATATACATTTAGGATAATTAGCTCTTCTTGTTTCATTGATCCCCTTTATCATTATGTAATGTCCTTCTTTGTCTTTTTTAAATCTTTGTTGGTTTAAAGTCTGTTTCATCAGACACTAGGACTGCAACCCCACATACAGGGTCAGTTTCATGGGCATATAACCTGTGCTGTCATACAGGGCCAGGCACTTAGAAGGACATATGATTTATTGCTCTGTTAACACCATTTTGCAATTCTGAACAACTTTTTAACAAAATTCCCTGCATTTTCATTTTTCACTGGGCGAGGCAAATTATATAGCCAGCCTTGGCTTTACAGTTCATTTAAATTTTTACTGCTTCTAGAAAAACAAGTGAAATTTACCTGTAGTTAGTTACCAACCCAGGAGTGGACATTCTCGGAACTGCCCCGACCTGCTTCCTTCCTCATGTTGTTTTGGGTGTGGCAAGACTTCTGTTACACCTGGTCCAGCCAGTTAAATATTAAAGGATGTCCTGCTCCAACCTGGCCCTACCTAGTGGACAGCCTGGGCTCTGAGAATTCTTACTTCTAGAATGGACAGACCAAAAGAGGACAGAGGGGGTTACAAAAAGATAATATCCATCACAGCCAAGGAATACTCAAAAGTGAACTACCATTTCCACTGGATGTTGATTAACTTCCCTGAGCCTCAGTTTTCTCCTTGATGAAGGAGGGTAAGAGAGGCGGCATCTATCCCTCCCAACCCGCCAGAATCTCGGGCAGAGAGGACAGAATAGGCGTGCAAAATTTTGCATTGTCCCAGACCTCAGCAAGTCTTCCCACTTATGAAAACAGCATTTATACTTGGGTCATGCGACTCTTGGAAAACCTGATGTTGGCCGGGCGTGGTGGCTCATGCCTGTAATCCAAGCACTTTGGAGGCCAAGGCGGGTGGATCACCTGAGGTCGGGAGTTCAACAGCAGCCTGACCAACATGGTGAAACCCTGTCTGTGCAAAAGAAAAGAAAAAAAAAAAAAAGAAAAAAAGAAAACCTGATGTTACCTACGGTTCCTTCCTGCCCCCGCCCCACCTCCACCTTCCAGCCTCCAAAAATGTGACCTCCAAAAAAATAAATAAATAAATAAAAAGGCTTGCAACCTATGCCATGAATTGACGACCCTTGAAGGTGGCTCCTGGATCCAAGTTAAGCCACGTGCCTCTAAAATATTCATTTAGGCGGCCAGCGCTGTCTTCCCTGCTCAAATCCCCGACCTGCGGCTCCTGGCCACTGCCACCCCGCCCGAACCCTGCAGACGGGCTCTTCACCGGGTCTGCGCGCCCCGAGAGGGTCCTGGCTGGCCGAGCGACTGCCGCAAGAGGGGGCGGGCCCGGCTCTCGGTCCGCCCCACGCTGGGCTCGGGGTGGGGGTTCCGGGCCTATTACGAGATGGAAGCTCCGGGTGTTGCAGCGGCGGGAGGGAGTAAGGGAGGGAGAAAGGCACGCTGGTGAAAGGCTCATTGATGCAGCCTGCGGCGGCCTCGGAGCGCGGCGGGGCCAGAGGCTGACCACGTCCCGCTCCTCGGTCTCCTCCTCCGCCTCCTCCAGCTCCGCGCTGCCCGGCCGCCGCTCGCCATGCGCCCCCAGGGCCCCGCAGCCTCCCCACGGCTGCTCCACGGCCTCCTGCTGCTCCTGCTGCTGCAGCTGCCCGCGCCGTCGAGCGCCTCTGAGATCCCCAAGGGGAAGCAGAAGGCGCAGCTTCGGCAGAGGGAGGTAGTGGACCTGGTGAGTTCGGGGGAGCCCAGCCGGGACAGCTGCTCTGGTGGAAGGGACCCGGCCGCTCGCCGCATGGGCAGGCCGTCAGTCCGACTGTTGGGGGTGTCTGTCCGTGCAGCTGTGTGTCTTGTGTCTTGAAGCGCTGAGGGTGTTACGCTTTGTGTCTACAGGCACAGAAGGACCTCAGTTATGCGGGCAGTGAGTCTTGGAACTCAGAAGGGATACTAAAATGAGGGGCCATCGTGGAGCGGACATGTGACAGGGGTCCGGTGGGACTCCCCGAAGTATTGGCGAGTCCCCCAATAATTTCTGGCCTCAGGAGGACCCCTTGCGAAGGGTCGGAGGGGTAGGGAGGCAATGAGAGTAGGATGAGGAGCTTGGGTAGGTCCGAGGTGGACCTGGGAAAGACCCTGGCTTTGCTGATCCCGTGGGCCTGGGCCTGGGCCAGGGCTGTGCTACGTGTCCTTTGTTGAGGCTGGTGGCCACGTCTGCCTGCAGGAGAGAATAACAACCCCCACAAAGTATCCGTCCAACTCTTTGTAACTTGAAGACTATGAGTCATGTTGGGTCATCTTCCTAGGGAGTATGGGCTGCAATTTACTCGTTGGACAACCACAGCAGGGGCCAGGAATGGTTCAGAGGGTTTAAGGCCGGAAAGGGAAATGAAGGAGCCGGCGCTAACCCTCCAAGGACCCGTTTTGCTTGTTTTGTTTAAACCAAATGGGCCGTCAGTCCTTATAGATAACCTGGGTCTTCTGCTGTGGCCACCGCGTAGGAGTATCACAGTCAAGCTAGGGGAGACGACAGTTTCCAGGAACTGGAAACAAGGCCGAGTGCTTTCCAGGGGCTCATCTGTGGGAAGGTATGTTTGCTTAAAATCCTTCCCTCTGAATATCAACAAAACCCACTGGAGGGCGAAGTTCTCTGCCCTGTGGCGTGAGGGAGCCTTTCACAGCTACCGTAGTCCTTGGTGTATCATAAACTTCAGTCTCATTTGCAAACATGATTTACAGGCATTGCAAGACATAAGTTGGGGCATTTTTTATTAAAAAGAAAGTTTTGAATTTGTTAAGCTACCATTTTAAACTGAGCTAATAAACCAAGTTCCTTGGCAGCTAGTTCTACCTTGGATTCAAAAGTGCTAGAAAAAAATTTTCCCCATTTCATACAGTACTTTTTGGTGATAGGCTGTGTAATTTTGCTCCACAAAAGCAGACTATGTGTTCAGGCAACAGTGCTATTTTAAGTGACCAAGTTATTAAAACTGTACCAAATGAGTGTGGTTTATGTGTAGTTGGCATTTTATGAATTTGTAGTCATGATACACAAAATACCCATTTTTTCCTGGGAAGCTTGCAATTTTTCCCCCTTCAAGGACTTACAGTATCTGTGGTTTCCCACAACTCTGGGCAGACCTGGAAAAGATTTTGCAGCCAGGCTCAGGTGCATCCTGTAGGTTGGATTTGGTTTGCTGACAGAAAAAGTCCACAGTCATCAAGTTTTCAACAGATTCTATAAAGCAACTTCTTTGTATAGGATCTTTCAAAGCGTTCCTTTCAAGCTTCCACCAATCTCTGCCCCCTGGTGGCCAGTGAAAGAAACAGGGGAGTAGAAAAGTGCTCTTCCCTTCACATTTTTTTTTCATTCTACAGATATTTATTCAGAGTACTAAGCATGCGTTGGGTTACCATTTTAAAGTAGAATAAGACAGATGTGACACCTGCGGAATCGAATCAAGTAAAGTTATATGGTCTCTGAAATGTGTTTTTTAGATGAAAAGATGAATAAAAATTCCCCATATGGTACGATGGACATGCTGGGCCAGATAATTCGTGTGGGGACCGTCCTGTGCATTCCAGCATGTTTTTGTACAGACTAGATGCCCGCTCCCAAGTCGTGACAACCAAAAACGTCTCTAGACATAGTCAAGTGTCCCCTAGGGGACAAAATTGTCCGCAGTTGAGATCCACTGATATATAAGAAAATAAAATTTAGTCTGTGTATCATCTTGTCCTGAGGGGAATAATAGGGAAAATAATCAAAGAATATAAGGAGCAGTGTTATTCCCACTTGAAATGTATGTCTAAACATTGTATATATCTGCTTGTGAAAGTGAATTAAATTACTAAAATTTAAAAAGTCTAAAACACACCAAACTTTTGAAATATTTTACACTTTTAAAACTTTATTTTTTATGTCTTTGAATACTTTTGTAGTTGTTAAATGCTTTTTTTAAACTATTTCTCTGACGATAAATAAGCAGTAGTGTCTTTTTCTTCTTACAGTCAGGAAAATGGCAATGTCAAAGACTTAAAAAATAATTTATCAAACCAAAAATGAAACTGGTAATGGAGAAGCAAATTGATTGGCAAACATCAGTCTGATTATCTAGGATTTTTCCCAGACAGCGATTGGATTTTGTCATCCAGTCCCAGATACTGTAGTCAAAAGATAAGCTTTGAAGTTACTTTAATATCTAAGAAACTTTTTTTGTTTTTGTCGGAAAGTATACTTATGCAAAATAATACTAGGCAACTTATACAAATAAAGGAAATGTTAGAGTAAAAATTTAAATGGATTGCATTGGGTTTTGGAGTATCTAATAAATGGCACCTTTGTTCCTACCTGTACCAATTCAGATGTAGACACAGAAATTAGACAGGTGGAGTACAAGGTATACCTTTACCATTGATCATACAGCACTGGTGTGTATGGCTTATGTGTGCTAGGCTGGCAGATTTGCTAGTGCTCTCTTCCCTAGGTCTAGACCGTGAAAGGTCCACCCAGGGCAGTGGACACACTTGCCCAGAGTCACTTCCTCGCTTTTGTCTTGGGGGAATCATAGGAATAATAATGACTGACACATGCAGTGTTTACTGTGTTCCAGGCATTGTTCTAAGCACATTTTATATATTATTCACTTGAAGCTTATACAAACCCTACAAGGTAAGACTCTATTATTGTCCCCATTTTATAGATAAGGAAACAGCACCAAAATGTTGAGTAACTTGCCCTATCTCACAGAGCTAATGTAAGGTGGAGCCAGGATAAAATCCAAAGAAACTGGCTCTAGAATCCATGCATTTAAACGCTACAAGATATCCTTCCCAAAAACAAACATAGAGAATGCTAGCTCTTACAGACAGTTTGACAGATTGTGGATGGTCCTCTATTGAGAACTAATGGTCACCTGAAACTAGATCACTTACTGCTTCTCCTTGGGGAGGCGGTGTGGGATGAGAGGCCAGAAATGTTATCCAAGTACTGCTTCCCTCACTTAAAAACAGGGAGAAGGAGGGATTTTCATATCCAAGTTGGAGATATCGCCGGTACAAGATAATTATTGACTCTTAAGATTTTATTTTATAATTATGTCCCTAGGAATGTATCTTAGGGAAATAATTCAAAAGAAGAAAAAGGCTATCCGGATAAAGATTTTCATTACAATAATATTCTAATAAGAAAAAAGTAGAAATAAACTAGGTATCCAAGAGGAGTATGTTTGCATCAAACTGTAAAAGTCCAGGTCTCTTTGCAAGATATAGAGCTAGAAGAAAAAAGCAGAATATCAAATTATTTCCACCTTGGGCTACAGGTATTTAAAATTATATATGCTTATAATGAACAGTAGAAAGGAGCAGGCAAATGAAATAATTTTGTCCTCCTCTGATGTGTGTGTAAAGTTTGTGCACTAAAAATTATGAAAGAAATCACAATATTTTAGAAATAATTTGAAAATGAATTCTCTATAATAAGTCATCTAGAATATGGGCACGTGGTATTAAGGGATTCTTGACTCCAATGGCTCAAAATAAATGCAATTGTAATCATACTGAGTCTCTGAATTTTGAGCTGTGAGAGTTTTCTTCGCCTTCTCTTTCTCATTATAGTATAACGGAATGTGTTTACAAGGGCCAGCAGGAGTGCCTGGTCGAGACGGGAGCCCTGGGGCCAATGGCATTCCGGGTACCCCTGGGATCCCAGGTCGGGATGGATTCAAAGGAGAAAAGGGGGAATGTTTGAGGGAAACCTTTGAGGAGTCCTGGACACCCAACTACAAGCAGTGTTCATGGAGTTCACTGAATTATGGCATAGATCTTGGGAAAATTGCGGTAAGTAAAGTTTGAATTATTTTAAAAGTGAAGCAAAATATATATGGTTTTCATGTTTCAGTGTTAATTTTTTGGTGACATTTTATTATTTTTTAACCAAAAGACTTAGAGAAGTAGGTAGCATGTGACTTTTAAAACTAATAAAAAGTTTATTAGATTTCAAAGTTAATTTCATAAAGGTATTTCTAAGACAAATGCTTATCATTTTAACCATAGTATCTAAAATAACATACTTTTAAAATACAAACAAAAGAGAGCATAAGTGGTGTGTGTTGGACAGTATGCAACTTTCCAATCTTGCCCTAAAGTAAATTTAAATTCAGTCTAAGAAATTCTGCCCTGGCTTCAGACATAAAGGTGGGAAGCAATTTTTCCAAGAAATTACCACATTGGTCTAGAAGCAGAAGTCCATTGGTGTTTGTCTTTATTCAGGTAGCATACCCAGCTTAAAGTTGCTAAGCCAGGAGAAGTGAAATAGATTAGATGTGAGGTACTACAGCGATTATTTTAAGTTTTTCTGCAACATGAAGGCTGAATGGCGGGGAATTACTCAAAATAGCCTGTCTGGTAATGTATTTTGACTAATGTTTCAGTCACTTTGATTAGTGTTTGCCTCAAAAGTAATTGGCATGTCCACTGGGATGGAAGAGAGTTGAAGAAGTTGATGCTATTTGTAAGCCGCTTTCCTCTTGTTGACCAACTCTGTACATGGTTCTATATTTACAGCATGTTACTTCATGATTTTACCGCTACCATCAAGCAATTACAAGAAATTTTCTTTTCATAAAACTCTTAAGATTTTAAGATGCACTCTGTGTATAATCCCTGTTCCTCATCTCAGCTCTTTCTGCTCTGTTATCTGTAAGAGTTTGAGATTGTCTTGATTTAATTGTTTTGTGATAGCATTTCCATGTAGCTTCCATAGTTATGGTGACTATGACCTTTTCTGTGCTCATGTGTGTTTCTAGAAAGCATCTTGTTAAAATGTTCCCTAGTTATTTAAACATCTGACATTGATAGACTGGTTGCTTATTTATAGTTGTTTATCAAAAGTTACTGAGTTCTTTCTAAAAGCTATCTTTGTGAGTTCTGAATTATTAATATGTTTTAAAGTTCCTTTTAGCAGTGGTCAGGATGGGTATGGGAACCTTCTACAAGTAAAAGACAATAGGGCCACAAGCCAATAGACAGACAAATTTGCAAAGACCAATGAGAAAATAAGCAAACAGGAAACCTGGCCCTTATCATTGTGTCATATAGATAAAGACTAAAAACCTTGCCTATCCCTTACTCCCTCATACTGTTTCCTGTTGCTCGAAAAGAAACAGGTCAAGAGTAAATCTGTATGGACAGCACTAGTCTAGAATGTAAGTTCCATGAGGGCAGGGATTCTGGTTTGTTAACTGCTGTATCTGTACCATCTAGCACATAGTTGGGGTTCAGCAAATAGTTTTTGAATGTGAAAAAAAGAGGAAATATATAAATTGGTTTGGTCAAAAGTACTGGAGGCTGGCCTTCTTTGGTAAAACTGAAAGATACCCTCAATGGGGTGAAAAATTCTAAGAAAGCTGTATTTTGATTTTCTTAGAGTTCCTTTATCAAAATCTCTTACCTAGCTTGCAGAAAATCTCCCTCTCTCTATAAAAGTTAAGCTTTTCTTTTTCTTTTCCTTTTTTTTTTTTTTCTTCTATTTTTGAGACAGAGTCTCACTGTCTTGCCCGGGCTAGAGTGCAGTGGCACAATCTTGGCTCACTGCCACCTCCACCTCCTGGGTTCAAGCAATTCTCACATCTCAGCCTCCCGGGTAACTGGGATTACAGGCATGCACCACCACACCGAGCTAATTTTTTGTATTTTTAGTGGAGACGGGTTTCGCCATGTTGGCCAGGCTTGTCTTGAACACCTGGCCTCAAGTAATCCGCCCGCCTTGGCCTCCCAAAGTGCTGGGATTAAAGGCATGAGCCACCACACCTGGCCAAGTTAAACTTTTTAAATACATTTTGGGGAAAAGGATCGTTAAGTAAAATTCACCAATCTCAAAATCTCTTTTTAATTAAAATAGAAAATGTTAACTAAATTTCATTTCTCTGTTTGTGACAGGAGTGTACATTTACAAAGATGCGTTCAAACAGTGCTCTAAGAGTTTTATTCAGTGGCTCACTTCGGCTAAAATGCAGAAATGCATGCTGTCAACGTTGGTATTTCACATTCAATGGAGCTGAATGTTCAGGACCTCTTCCTATTGAAGCTATAGTTTATTTGGACCAAGGAAGCCCTGAAATGAATTCAACAATTAATATTCATCGCACTTCTTCTGGTATGTAAAGTTGTGACATTGCAAGATGTGCCTCAGATCTAACTAAGATTAGTTTTGAGTCCCACTATCATGTTGGGTCCTAGCCTGCTGTAAAGGGACCTCTAGCAAGTTTTCAATGCATGATTCTCCACCCTGGTTGTACTTCTGCATTACCTCTAGATCTTTTAAAAATATATAGATGTGTGGGACCTATCTCTGATGAACTGACTCAGAATCTCTAGCGGTAAAACCACAGCGTTTTTGTTTGTTTGTTTGTTTGTTTTTTTGAGCCAGAGTCTCGTTCTGGTGCCAGGCGCCAGGCTGGAGTGCAGTAGCCTAATCTTGGCTCACTGCAGCCTCTGCCTCCCGAGTTCAAGCAATTCTCCTGCCTCAGCCTCCCCAGTAGCTGGGACTATAGACGCGCGCACCACCATGCTCAGCTTCTGCGTTTTTTAAAAGATCCCCTGTTGATTCTGATGTGCCCCAGGCTTGAAAATCAATGAGTTAAATACATGGCAAAATAGCCAATAATGCTATGGAGCAGTGGCTTTTCTACCTTGGCTTCATATTGGGCTCACTTAAGGAATTTTGGGAATCTTACAAAAGAAATACCTACCCACCCCTTTAGGGAGTCAGATTTAATATGTCTGGGTGCAGACTTGACAATGGGACTTTCAAAATATCACTTGGTTGGCTGGGTGTGGTGGCTCACACCTGTAATCCCAAAACTTTGGGAGGCTGAGGTGGGCAATCACTTGAGCCTAGCAGTTTGAGACAATGTGGGCAACATGGCAAAACCCTATCTCTACAAGAAAATTAGTCCCAACTACCAGGGAGACCGAGGTTGGAGGATGGCTTCAGCCCAGGAGGCAGAGGTTGCAGTGAGCTGAGTTCGCACTACTGCACTCCACCCCGAGTGATGACAGAGATCCAGTTAAAAAAAAAATCTTCTGATTATTCTAATGTTCAGCCAAAGTTGAGAACCACTGGCTCAGACTAAAGGAGACTGACTCATTTTTCTGCCTTATTCTTTAAAAGGGTGGATACTGTCTGCTGAATTTGTAAAAGAGAAAACTTTTATACTATTTCTGCATTCTCTGTTTCTACCTAGTATGAGAAAAAAGACATTCAGTGGTCACTTAAACTGTCAGAAAAATATTATTGGGTTATTTCATGTATGTATGTATTTATTTATTTATTTTAGAGACAGGGTCTTTGCTGTTGCTCCGGCTGAAGTACGATGGCGGGATCATAGCTCACTGTCACTTTGAACACTTGGCCTCAAGTTGATCCTCTTGCTCAGCTTCCCAATGTGCTGTCATTACAGGCATGAGCCACCATGCCCAGACTGTTCTATTTTAAGATTCGTTAAAGACTGTTTAGAAAATACCAAAAAGTAGAACAGTTTTTTTTAAAAAATGTTAATCTCATCCCCTAGAGACACCACTATCAGTATCTGCTTGTCAGCCATTTTGGTTTCCTAAGTTGCAGTGGATGGCACAGCCTGGTAGCATCAGGAATTGCAATACGATTATATTCATTTGTCTTTCCATAGAAGAAAAATAAGGAACTGTAGAGATGGTTAGCATCATTTCCTTGACATCCTGAAGAGATTTTCCACTAATGTTATACTTAAAAATGGTCGAGAGGAGGGAGAAGATCATCTCATCTTTCCCTTCCCTCAGAAATAACATTTCAGGATTCTTTGGGGCTCCAAGTCAGATGCTGAACCCCAAAACCAATTTATACCTAAGCAATCAAGGGGATCCCCTCTACATTTTCCCTCAATCCCCACAATATCCTTGAAATATAAAGAAGAGATTTTAACCCCCTCTCTTTGCATATTGAGAAACCCAAGGAAATACAGTATCTTACGTAGGATAGTAGAATTGGTGGAACCAAGGCCCTGTTCTCTTGTCCCAATTCTCTTTGTAATCAGATTAAAAATCCTCTTCACTAAGCCAGATACATGTGCTAGAAGGAAGAAGTGTTTCCCATCTAAGAAACGGTCTTTAAAATAAGAAGAATCTAGATATTTAAAATTTGATTAGGAAGTGATATATTTAGACAGTAGTTGATATAAGCATCTTACGTTCTATTCTGTTATCTTTAAGGTGTGTGTTAATATTTTGCTACAATGTAAGCCCGTAGGCCCAAGAACTGTCACCTATACGTGCATATACTTTACAAATAATTTAACATAGCATTTCCCAACCATGGTGTGCAAACTCATTTGGTGTGATCGATTGGGTGGAATGTCACAAGTAATGTGTTATTAATAAAAGTTTTTGTGTTGTGGATTAAAAGTTACCTCTGCAATAAATCACTTTCTGTGACATGCTGATAATCTCTCCTAAGGGAAAGGAAAAGGGTGCACTTATAGTTAGCAAATCAGAGGATGACTTAAAGCCTTGATATACCCATGGGAGTGTGACAAACTATTTCATCTATTACATGGGTTTAGGAGGAAAATGGGTTGAGAACTCCTAATCCAACATATTGTTTTCACTTAACAAACTATCATACTACATTGTCACAGCAAAAATGTTCATTTACCTACATTATTTCATCTGCTAAAGACCATGAAGTGACCATTTGATTCTCTTCAGATGAGGCTGACACAAGACCCAAGCTTGTCTGATGTCCTTAGGCTGTAGGGAGATGTGAACAAGTTTCTAGGCTATGGATGTCAAGACCTTGGGTAAAGATGAGCATTTCTAGGCATTTCCACTTGGCATGGAACTAAGAATACCAGACTAAATGGAATTGTAGGCCTACTATTTAGTTCCCCCAACTTGGGAAAAGCCTGAACCAGAGGCAGGTCCCTGGATTCTGAGAGACTTGCCCTGGGTTTACTCCTGTGAGAGTTTATGTAAGTTGATTGCTTCAGACCCACATCCCTGGGTCTCAACTGGAATGCACTAACCTCAATCAAATAGGAAGTCACATGAAGTCATCCACTACACTGCTTCTATATCAGGATTCATTTTCTTAAAGAATCTGCCAAGCTACAGTTTCTTCTCCCATTTTACATATTTGTCAAAGGTACTCTTTTTGCCAGCTAAAATGACCACTGAGGGATTTTTTTTTTTTTTAAGACAAGACTTTGGTAAGATGGAATGCAACTTGTATGTTAGTAGGTGAAAGTCCAGAGGACATGTGAAAAGTTGCATAATTATAATGCATAAAAACATATAGGAAATGCAAGGTTTTTTTGTTTTATGTTTTTTCACTATGAGAAAATTCTGTGTAAAATGGGATTCCCGATTGAAGGGCTGGTGTAATGATTATGTTAGAATTCCTTTTAATGTTATAAAGTTATTTCTTCTGACTGGGTGCAGTGGCTCACACCTATAATCCCAGCACTTTGGGAGGCCAGGGCGGGCAGATTACCAGGTCAGGAGATTGAGACCGTCCTGGCTAACACAGTGAAACTCCGTCTCTACCAAAAATACAAAAAATGATCCAGGTGTGGTGGCATGTGTCTGTAGACCCAGCTACTCTGGAGGCTGAGGCAGGAGGATCGCTTGAACCTGGGAGGCAGAGGTTGCAGTGAGCTGAGACCACTCCATTGCACTCCAGCCTGAGCAACAGAGCAAGACTCTATCTAAAAAAAAAAAACAAAGTATTTCTTCTACTTTTATAGCATCACATATCAGCAGATAAGTGTTGAAAATGGCTTTCAAAAAAAAAAAAAAGATTGCATATCAAATGAAAGTCTTGGCTTTTAAAAGTATATATAGGCTTTCTTTGCTTAGTCAAATACATTGCTTTGTTTAATCAAATAAATTTATCTAGTCAAATAAATTTAAGTTAGCTCTGTAACTATACAAATTCTGGTTTTATGCTTGAAATCTGTAAGAACACTACCTGTTAAACTTATATCATAGAATGGATATTTATACATACTTTAAAAATATTTATGTACCAATTTAGAAAAAGAGAACTTTATTTTGAAAACCTTATCAAGTATTAGAACTTTTAATTAGCATTACATTAAACAGAATTACAATCTAGCTTTATAAAGTTATAAAATTTAACTAAAGGATTTTGCTCTTTGTTCTAAAGAAAGATGTAACTTTCATCTTTGTCTTGCAGTGGAAGGACTTTGTGAAGGAATTGGTGCTGGATTAGTGGATGTTGCTATCTGGGTTGGTACTTGTTCAGATTACCCAAAAGGAGATGCTTCTACTGGATGGAATTCAGTTTCTCGCATCATTATTGAAGAACTACCAAAATAAATGCTTTAGTTTTCATGTACTACCTCTTTTTTTATTGTACCTTAGAATGGTTCATTTAAATGACATTTTAAATAAAACTTTTATATATACATTTGAATGAAAAGCAAAGCTAAACATGTTTACAGACCAAAGTGTGATTTCACACTATTTTTAAATCTAGCATTATTCATTTTACTTCAATTGAAAGTGGTTATAATATTTTTTTTAGCTGATTAGGATACTTCTTCATAGTCACGTTCTCTGAACCTATTTGGAATACTGTTGTGGTCTTTAGTTTTTTTGCTCTTAGCATAGCATTTTTTAAAATATAAAAGCTACCAGTTTTTGTACAATTTGTAAATGTTAAGAATTTTTTTATATCTATTAAATAAAAATTATTTCCAACAACCTTAATATCTTTAAATTAATTGCCACTTAAATTGGAGTTTCTAGTACTTTATATCTGAAAAGTTTAACATAAATCCAATTTGTATTTATTCATTTGATGCTTATTTATTAATTTTTAGTACATGTATAATATGGTTCCATTTTTAAAGGAAGACAAAGAGAAAGTGGTATTTATGTGTCAGGAAATACATGAGCACTTTAGGAATTTTATCTTTATTTAACAAAGAGAAACAAAAGATGGATTGTAGCCTCAAATTCCTTGCCATTTGGTAGAGAAGATCAGACATATATAGAAATAACAATAAATTAAAGATTAATATGTTGATTACTATAAAAGTGTTGAAGTGGGTGATATGGTTCAAAGGAAGAGTGATCATTTCTGGCTGAGGTGATCAGGAAAAAAATCCATGAAGGCACTATACATGTAAGATTGATAAAGTTAAGTAAATTCTAGGCTTGTCTTGGAAGTATCAGTATGAACTCATAAAATACTTTATCTTAAATAAAGCTACAAAACAATAGCAAAATCTACCTTTGTTTACCAAAAAGGCCCAGAAACAATTACCAATCCAGTAATGCCCAGAATGTGATCTCTACATTTCCATTTCCTACTAAAAGAGACTAAAAATCCTTGAAGAAATGGTGATTTCAGCTCTAGGGCAGGAAATGTACAATATGAACATGGAACATTTTGTCATACTGGAAAACCAGGCAACTATGAAAAACAGCTCAACCATCCTCTGCTACCAAAAAAAAAAAAAAAAAAGAAAAGTAAAACAACTCAAAAGGATCCAAAAGCCAACTTGAATTGGTTCTCACTGGCAAAGATGATACAATTTAAATATCAATAAGGAGAATAATTGCAATGGTTTAAAACATGAAATATGTTTAAATACATGAATATGAGTTCAACTTACAGTGAAATAAAAATTATTGGTCAACTTACAGTATGCCAACAAACCAACTTGTTACTTTGAAAATTGGTAAATTGAACCAAACATTTCTTCTGCTTTCTCTATATGTACTGAATGTCTGAGTAACCAAATTGTTCATGAAGGAAAATTTCTCTTTCTAAAACTATATATACACATACACACAATATTATACATCTTATAGTAACATCACATATTAGTGGTATAGCTTGTAAAAGAAGAGTGATACAATTTGAATATTAACTTTTTTCGACTCCTCACGAATTAAGGGATTTAGTAATGAACATCAACAACTGATAACATTCCCAAAAGAGATAGACCAGCTATGAGCCTCCAAGAAAGTACGTAACAGCACACAAGAAGTAGTTTTCCAAGAAACAATCAAGCCAGGATCTGATGTAGCCTCTAGTTCTAACCATTAATTTGCGGGAAATACAGGGGATACAGGAGGATGTTCATTGACACCACCGGGATATAATCAGCAAAATCCAGACTGTGGGAAACTTGAAAGACAATTTGGTTTATTTAACAAATAATTAGTGAGAAAAGTGAGAGAGAAAAAAAACCTTACAGATTAAAAGAAACTTAAGATCTTATCAACCAATTGCAATGTTCGAACTTTATTTGGATACGGATTCAAGCAAACTATAAACACAAAGCAAAACTTCCTTGAGATAGTCGAGGACATTTGAACATTGGCTGGCTAGTTGATATTAAATAATTATTATTTATGTCTGGTAATGATATTGTGGTTCTTTTTAAATAGTACCTTTATCTTTTAGAGATACTGAAATATTTAAGACAAAGTGATATGACATGTTGAGTTTGCTGCAGAATAATCTAGAAATGCGAAGTAGTAGGGGAGTCTGGATGAAATAATATTTCTGATAGGCAGATGTTAACCAAGATACATAAAAATTTTGATACATGCCTTTAGTTCAAACCACCTGTTCTTTGAACATTTTTTATTAATACTCCAGCGTTTTTACTAATGTTCTTGCCTCTGCCAGAGCTGTTCTTAACAACTATCCCCATTTGTCAAAATTAAGTGAAAGAAGCCAAGCACAGAGAGAAACTTCTCATGTTCTCACTCATTTGCAGCAGCTGCAAATTAAAACAATCAAACTCATGGACAGGCAGTAGAATGTTGGCTACCAGAGACTGGGATGGGCAGTGAGGAGTGGGGGAAAGCGAGGATGGTTAATGGGCACACAAAATAGAAAGAATGTATAAAATCTAGTATTTGATAGCACACAGGGTGACTGCAATAAATCATAATTCATAGTACATTTAAAAATAACTAGAAGTCAGGCATGGTGGCTCATGCCTGTAATCCCAGCTCTTAGGGAGGCAGAGGTGGGAGGACAGCTGGAGCCCAGGAGTTTGAGACCTGCCTGGGCAAGATAGTGAGACCTCGTTCTCCACAAAAAGGAAAAAAAAAAAAAAGACAAAAAACAATAAAAATAACTAAAAGAGTATAATTGGAATGTTTGTAACACAAGGAAATGATACATGCTTGAGGTGACAGATGCCCCATTTACCCTAATGTGATTATTACATGTTGAATTCCTATATCAAAATGTCTCATGTACCCCATAAATATATACCTACTATGAACCCATAAAAATTAAAAATTTTTTAAAAGTGGTGCCTCGAGATGCAATCTACTCCTGGTGAAGATGTTGTCAATATTGTTGAAATGACAACAAAGGATTTGGTGTATTACATAAACTTCATTGATAAAGCAGCAGAAGCAGGGATGGAAAGGATGACTCCAATTTCCATCAAAGTTCTACCGTGAGTAAAATACTATCAAACAGCACCACAAGCTACAGAGAAATCGTCCATTAAAGCAAGAGTCAATTGATGTGGTAAACTCCATTGTTATTTTAAGAAATTGCCACGGCCACCCCAACCTTCGGCTACCACCAACCTGATCAGTCAGCCATTAACACTGAGGCAAGATCTCCTAGCAGCGGATTATAACTCACTGAAGGCTGAGATGACTGTCAAAATTTTTTAGCAGTAAAGTATTTTAAATTAAGCTATGTACAAGGTATTTTTAGACATGCTATTGTACACTTAATAGGCTACAGTATATTGTCAACATAATTTTTATATATACTACGAAACCAAAAAAATTCATGACTCATTTTCTTGTGATACTTTGTTGCAGTAGTCTGGAAGTGAACTATAAAAGTATCTCAGGGATCTCAAAGGTATGCCTATGTATTTATAAATCTCTTAATACATGAGCAGAAATTTCTTAGGGGAATTGGCTCCCCCCAATTATGGAGGCTGAGAAGTCTCATAATAGGCCATTTGCAAACTGGAGATCCAGGGAGGCCCATGGTGTAATTCTCAGTTTGAGACCGAAGTCCTGGGAACCCAGGGTAGGGTATGTGCTGTTGCAAGTCCAAGTCCAAAGGCCGGAGAACCTGGAGTTCTGATGTCCAAGGGCAGTTTGAAGAAAGGTGTCCCTGCTCCAGAATAAAGATCACATTCACCTTCCCTCCCTTCCTTTTTGTTTGAATGCTGCTCTCAGCTGACTGGCTGTTGGCAGATCCTCCTTACTCAGTCCACTGATTTAAATGCCAGTATCTTCTGGAAACACTCATAGATATACCCAGAAATAATGTCTTAACAGCTAGCTGAGTACCCCTAGCCCTGTCATGTTGACATCTAAAATTAACCATCATAGATTTATCTCATTATTACACCTAATAACCAACTTACAGACTTTTTGCTTCCTGGCAACTCTGAGTCTGCTGGTTTGGAAGTCTTAGTATCCATGAAGGGAACAAAACAGCGGTTCCACTGAATCATAGGATGAGACAGGTTATCAGTTTTCTGCTGGCTGCATGACAAATGACTACAAATTTAGTAACTTAACACAAATTTATTTATTTCATTGTTACTGTGGGTCAAGGGTCTGGGTACAGGTTAGCTGAGTCCTCTGCTCAGTGTTGCCAGGCTGAAATTAAACCATTAGCTGGGGCTGTGATCTCATCTGAGACTTAGGACCCTATTCCTAGCACATGTGGTTGTTAGCACAATTCAGTTCCTTGCAGTTGTGATTAGAGTTCTAGTTTTTTGTTTTGTTTTGCTTTTTACTGTTAGCTGAGGACTGCTCTCAGTTTCTAGAGGTGACCCTCAGGTCCTTGTGGTCCCTACTCACAATAGGCTGTTTTTCTCCTAGACCAGCAGGATAACTCTTCTGCTTTTAAACAACTTGCCTGATACACAGGATACATAGCTACACAGGATAATCTCCCTTTGGATTATAGTCAACTGATTAGGAACCCTTTGCCATATCGCATAATCATGGAGGTGCTATCCAATTATATTTACAGGTCTCAACCATGCTCAAGAAGAGTTTACATGGGTGTATACAAGAGACGGAAGGAGTCATGGCATTCATCTTAGAATTCTGCTTTTCAGACAGCCACCTGGTCATTTTACACTTCTTGTACCACTTAGCCAACGAAGGAAAAAGAGGGGGTCATTTATTGGCTGTAGTGATTGATCTCAATTTCCAAGGTAAATTGGTTTGCTGCTGCAAATGGAAGCGGGGACTGTCCGGAACCTAGGAGATGTTTTAAGGTGCCTCTTAATACTTCCATGTCGAACAGTAAAGGTTACATGGAAAACCACAAGAATCAGAAAAGGGGCAGGATGACTGAGGATTCAGACCTTTCAAAAAGGAAGGTTTGAAGCACTCTGCCAGGCAAAGAACCCAGAGCATCTGATTCTGACTGTGGGAAAGGGAAATAAAGAGGTAGTTGAAGGTGGAAGCTATGGATATCAACCATAATCTTGTGACCAATTACATAAACAAGGACTGCAGTAGCTCTGCATAATTTCTCTTTGCTTGTATGCATGTGTTTATTTTTATTTTCTGCTTTCCTATTCTCCCTATTTTTATTACACGGGTTATTGAAAGTCAACTTTACAATTCAGTCTAAACAATATTAGGTGGGATGATGAGTGAATTGAGGAGTAATTAATATAGCCAGCAGTGAATCCAATGACTGTTGAGACTTTGTGTCTTATTTTGGGGAACAGCAAGTGCTTCACTTAACAGAAGGGTAACTGTAACTCACCAGGCCAAAATATAGTTAGTTACTCTCTTATTGTGCAAAAGGTCAAATATGTGCAGAAGGGTGCGTATATATGGAAGCTGAGCAAAGGGGTGACTAAGCCCTCTTGTCAATTGATCACTTCTCAACTCCAAATTCACCCTTCAGTATCTACTCTTGTGATAACAATTGAACAATAAGCATTTCTCCTTCAAAATGAGAATAAGAAGTAGAGGATGCTGGAGGGGTGCTGCGGGAGGAAAGGAACTTCTCATCCTAGTGTTGGTATGCTCATTTTTTTCTCTTTTGCTCCCACTGCAAGGTCAGTGGTATACGCATCTGATGGCATTTTGCTCTGCTTGCACACAGAATGTACAGTACACCCTGCGGTCCCAACCTAGGAGGCCTAGGGACCACCTTGCTGTAGCCCTCTTGAGATGCACCCCACATGCTCCTGACCTTGTACCTGCAGCAGTGCCCTGACTCTCTGTACGCCCACCCATCAATCTCAGCTTTCCTTTCTCCTAAAGGTTGGCTTCTGAAGTCTTTCAATGTGTACAAGTTCTGCCCCAGTTTCACACCTGCAGAAATGTCCTAACTTTCTCTGCAATCTGCTCACCAGCCTTGGCTTGCCTGTGTCCCAGAGGACTGTTTCCTGTTTATCAGACAATTTTAAACCAGTTCTGGCCCCAGGCACACAGGCAAGCTTCCACACCACCCAGTGGTTTGCACCCACAACTTCTCCAAAAAAGTCTGAACACCAGAGGGGGACTCTCTTTCAACTTTGTCCTTCTTTGGCTACTCACCCTCAGCCCTAGAATAGTTTAGATTCTCTAAACATATTTCTATTGTTCTATCACCACATAATAATCCTTTAAACTTAGCCTATTTAAATTATGGTGTGGGCCGGGCGTGGTGGCTCAAGCCTGTAATCCCAGCACTTTGGGAGGTCGAGGCGGGTGGATCACGAGGTCAACAGATCGAGACCATCCTGGTCAACATGGTGAAACCCCGTCTCTACTAAAAATTACAAAAAATTAGCTGGGCATGGTGGTGCGTGCCTGTAATCCCAGCTACTCAGGAGGCTGAGGCAGGAGAATTGCCTGAACCCAGGGGGCGGAGGTTGCGGTGAGCCAAGATTGCGCCATTGCACTCCAGCCTGGGTAACAAGAGCGAAACTCCGTCTCAAAAAAAAAAAAAAAAAAAAAATTATGGTGTGTTCTGTCTCCTGGTTGAACCCAGATTGACAGATGTAATTGACTTGATTATATTAAGTTTGGGACAGGGAAGTGAGCATGAGTGGCACTTTCTTTCCCTCCTCTTTCTTTGGAAATAAGCTGCTTACAGAGAAAATGCATTCTGCCCCATTCCTCCTTGCTGTGACTTCACAAGGGCAGGCCATAAAATAGTCTTAGTCCAGTGTTGTTTGTGGTTGGATGGGTATATGATTCTGGGGCTTGGTACAAAGAAATTTACTTTTACACATATATAAGCTTCATTCTCTAATTTGAGCCTTATCATTAATAAAAGCAATATCCCATGCTCCCTCTACCTCTTGTCTATGCCTGGATTAGTTTGGAACTTGGGTGGGAAAGAGATCAATGTGAATCACTTAAAAATAGCTTGCTGATTTTCCTTTTGATATGTTGAATGTGAACTGGTTTTATAACTTCCTAGCCTTACAGTGGTACAAGTCTAATCCTAATTAACATATATTGAAATTTAATACTAAACACAATCCTGGAATACTAGATCTCAGAAATACACCAAGGAGAACTTACAAATCATCCAACTTTTGTACAGTTGGGCCTTCCACCAGAAACATATTTTTATTTTTCTAAGTCTACCAATCTTCTTTCTTTGTGCTTTTCATAATGAGCTGAATAATCTCTTTAATTTATATAAATATTAAACCTTTAATGTTTTTCTATAAAACTGAACACATTTTAATGAAACTATGTGACCACACAAGGGTCCCAAAAGGCTCAATTTTCATAAAGATTACATCAATATCCACAGAAACAAGAGTCCACATAAATCATAACAGCTGATGGGGAAGTAACATACAGAATTCAGGGTATCACAGATTTGTGTCATCCAGGAAGTTTTCAGTTACAGCAAGTGATAGGAAAAGCAAATGGAGACTAGCTTTAAAAATACAGGAAATCAGCCGGGTGCGGTGGCTCATACCTGTAATCCTAGCACTTTGGGAGGCTGAGGTGGGCAGATCACCTGAGGTTAGGAGTTCTAGGACAGCCTGGCCAACATGGTGAAACCTGTCTCTACTAAAAACACAACAATTAGCTGGGTGTGGTAGCACGTGCCTGTAGTTCCAACAACTTGGGAGGCTGAGACAGCAGAATTGCTTGAATCTGGGAGGCAGAGGTTGCAGTGAGCTGAGATCAAACCACTGCAGTCCAGCCTGGGCGAGAGTGAAATTCTGTCTCAAAAAAAAAAAAAAAAAACCCAAAAAACACACAAAAACAGGAAATCTATTGGGTCACCCAGCTGAACTCCAGAGAATACATGCTGCTAGGGGTAAGGACTGATCCAGAATCCCATGTAATACAGCATAATACCTAGTTCCTTTCTTTCAATTTCTTGTTACTTCCTTAGTGCTGACTCCATTTTGGACAAACTCACTCTGCTTAATCTATGATTCTAAATTGGCTTTGAGAAACTCTAACCTCAAAAACTAGCTCTAAGTTCTTTCACCCTGAGTATAGTGACAAATTCTGTAGCAGTGCCCTGTCTCTGTATGCCCACCCATCAATCTCTGCTTGAAGTTCTGCTCCAGTTTCACACCTGCAGAAATGTCCTAACTCTCTCTGTAATCTGCTCACCAGCCTTGGCTTGCTTGTATCCCAGAGGACTATTGCCTGTTTATCAAATTCTGTTTGCAGCAAAGAGAGAATTTACGTCACTATACTCGGGGTGAAAATGTCTTTAAGAGTCACTCTGATAGGGAAAATGTGACACATATACACCATGGAATATTACGCAGCCATAAAAAACGGTGAGTTCGTGTCCTTTGTAGGGATATGGATGAATTTCGAGAACATCATTCTCAGCAAACTGACACAAGAACAGAAAATGAAACACCACATGTTCTCACTCATAGGCAGGTGATGAACAATGAGAACACATGGACACAGGGAGGGGGCACTACACACTGGGGTCTATTGGGGGGAATAGGGGAGGGACAGCGGTGGGGGGAGGTGGGGAGGGGTAGCATGGGGAGAAATGCCTGATGTGGGTGAAGGGGAGGAAGGCAGCAAATCACACTGCCACGTGTGTACCTATGCAACTATCTTGCATGTTCTGCACATGTACCCCAAAACCTAAAATGCAATAAAAAAAAATTAGCTTTTGGAAGCTGCTGCCAGAGCTGTCAATAAGTAGGAAATACCAGTATGTCTTCCAAGAACGAATTCATTCAAACAAGTCATTGAGGCCAGATGTGGTAGCTCATGCCTGTAACCCCAACACTTTAGGAGGCTGAGGCAGGCAGATCACCTGAGGTCAGGAGTTCGAGACCAGCCTGACCAACATGGTGAAACCTCAACTCTACTAAAAATACAAAAATTAGCCAGGCATGGTGTTGATCAACTGTAATCCCAGCTACCTGGGAGGCTGAGGCAGGAGAATTGCTTGAGCCCAGGAGGCAGAGGTTGCAGTGAGCTGATATTCTGCCATTGCACTCCAGCCTGAGCAATAAGAGAGAAACTCTGTCTCAAAAAAACAAAAACAAAACAAAACAAATCCTTGATAGTAAAACGAAGAGACACCTGCATCCCATGTCTATTGCAGCACTATTCTCAATAGCCAAGATATGGAGTCAACCTAGGTGTCCAACAATAGATGAATGAATGAAGAAAATGTGATATATACACACTATGGAGTACTATTCAGCTATAAAAAAGAGTGAAATCTCATCGTTCATAGAATGGGATGAAACTGGAAGATATTATTTTAAGTGAAAAAAGCCAGGAACAGAAAGTTAAACACCGCATGTTCTCACGCATATGTGAAAGCTAAAAAAAGTTAATCTCATAGAAGTAAAAAGTAGGACAGAGGATACTAGAGGCTGGGAAGGGTAGGGAGAAGGGAGAGTGACAGAGATTTGTTAAAAGATACAAAATTACAGCTAGATAGAAGAAATAAGTTCTAGTGTTCTATAGCACTGTAGAATGACTATAGTTAATATAATACATAGTTTCAAATACTAGAAGGCTATTGCACATTCTCAACACAAAGAAACAATAAACATTTGAGATGGTGGGTGTGCTAATTACCCTGATCTGATAACTATACATTATATATATGGAAATATAATTATGTACCCCCAAGAATATGTACAATTGCTATTTGTCAATTTAAAAAATAAATTAAAAAACCCTATCATTGAATCCTTAAGACACTAACATTAATTTACTTATACAACAAAATTAAAAAATTATTTCTTATGCTGTTTTTCAAAGAAATTTTATGACTTTATATAAATACATCTACAATAATAATTGTATATGTTTTTGTAGTCTAATAAAATTTGCACTGAATTCCCCCCCCCAAAAAAGATACCATTTTACAGATTAGGAAACCTAAGACAAAAAGGGCTGAAGTGATCTGCCTAAGGTCAAACAGAAAATGGGAAAGCTGAATTTTGAAGCCAGAGGGTCTGGCTGTCCACCCTCAGCTCTTTCCATACTGTGGCGGCCATTTCTCCAACCTCCTCTCTCTCCTACTCATCCCACCAGCCAGTTAATTCCTGCCTCAGGCCCTTTGTACTTGCTATCGCCTCTGGCTAGAAAGGTGCTTCCTCTCTTATTGTGGTTCGCTTCCTCACTTCTTTCAAAATATTCCAAATATGACCTCAGAGACCTTTCCTGACCCCAACCATACTACCTAAGATAGCAACACTATCCCCCAGTTCTGCTACAGTTTTATTTATAGTATTAAATACCTAAATCATATTATGCATATACTTGGTTTTCTGTCACTTACACCAAGAAGAAAATTCCCTGAGGGCAGGAATATTGTCTGGCTTATTTATTGGTATATCCTCAGTGCTTGGTGACACACTTGACAAAGAGCAGGAGTTGAGTGACTATTTGTTGTTGAATGATTGAAATTGAGTTCTCTTCTCTCAGAACTCTTACTGGGCTTTGTAACAGATTCCTGACATGTTCTGAATCTATAATTGTAGTTATTTAATGCATATTTATCTGTCAGACAAGCTTATATGTTCTCAGAGGAAGAATGTTGTTTTATTCACTTGGGAGTACAGAGGAGGTATTTAAATAATGGTGCTATCTTAAGCACCAAATATCAACTGCAGTTCATTTTTCCATGAGGGGACTAATACCAGGATTTCATATGAATAACAGTATAAACCAGAAGTATAAAAAAATACATCACATTTAACTTATAAAGCGTTCCTATGCATGTTACAAGATATTACAGTAAATACAATTAGGTACTTATCATTTTATCTTTATTTCAAAAAAATGCCATTTCCAAAATATAAAAAAATAAGCCTATTTTCAAAGAACTATTTAAAGGTGGCTTTGAAAACAACAGTTTTATTTACAACAAATAGATGGCAGTGCAACAGCACTAATAGATGTTTATGATAAATAAAAATACTAGCATCATTCTGGCATCTTTTGGGAACAGGCCCTTTTATATTTATAGATGTCTACAATGACTCATAAAAGTAAAATCAATAATGGCCATTAATGTGATTTGTTTTTCAACCTGAATGTGAGCAACCAATGAAGAGTAATCGTTTATTTGGGATCTAAATCCATATACCTGAAAACTAAGGTATGAAGTTTCTCATTTCCATTCAGTTTGTCAACAAACACATCCCAAACATTTCGGTATCTGTAAAAGGTGATCTATTTAGCATCTCCAATCAGTGATTTATAGCTACATATGCTAAATAAAGGTTGACACAGCTGGATCCTAGAAGCTCAGGTTTTACAAATTTAAAATAGATTAAGTACTTATGCTAAAACACAAGAACTGGATCTAGGATTTTATTTTAAATTATGGAAGTCTCTGGGGAAAAAAGCAATGAATAACAACATGTGTCAGCTGTTTCTCCGAGAAGTATGTAATTTCTCAATTTTCACTAGGTAGTGCATCTCAGTTGAATTAAAACTAAAACATAGAGTGGATTTTTCTCTCACTAAAATTTCTCAATTCTAAAATCTTCTGAATTTGGTCAACACCTTATGCAGTAAATCCTTAATTTATCTTGAAACAAAGATATTCTTTTAAAAACCCATTTTCTTGGTATTGCACAAAGGTTAATTTTAAAGCAATCCAGGCAAATAAGTCACACAAAAAAGTACATTCATCTAATCTATTTAGTAAATGTTGCAAATCAGCTTCTACCAATAAAATGTAGAAATTTGTGAAACTCTATACTTTGCGCCAGTTTTAATATTTGTGTTGATGGCAGCCATTTTGGGCAGAGGTAGCCAAGGTCCATGTATATGGGGAAGGCAAAAAGCAGAAAAACATTGCAAAGACTTAGCAGTTCTCTGGCCTCTAATGACTACAGACCAATTTCAAATATGAGTCATGTTGCTGTGCAGGATTCTTCTTTTATGTCTTAAACAAAAGGAGCTTGTTGCTGCCGTGGGCAGATATACTGAATTGTCTTCTTTTAGCTTACTTTCTCTTTTCTCTAAGGTCAAGTAAAAAATGTGAGACGTTTTCATATACCACAAAGGTAATACAGCAGGCTGGAGTCACTCTAATTAAATTGGGAGCAATTCCTTTGTAAAATCCACCAATGCCTTCTTTCCTTTAGAGGAAAAAATAGATATATGCTTAATTTTCTATAGAGCTAGCATGAAAACATGAAAGTTTTAACTGACAAAAGGCATGGAGCAAGCAGCAGTCAAACCTCACTCTGATTTAAGTCCATGTTTTCAGTGTCCTAAAGTAATGTAGTTTATAAGCCATTTATAGGGGTTTACATTCCTTTTATGGATCTACTGAGGAAGAGAGGGTAAGGACACCTCAAAACTGAATGAAAAGTTCTTTAAGTTAGCTATCTTTCAAATGCTTTTAAATGTATGAACAGGCAGGAGTTTTAACTGACCTAATGTAGGTATTAAAAAAAAAACTCACAGCTTGGATAAATGCTAGCCAACATTAAATACAGCATATACAAAGATAAAACTTTATTTCCTTAATGCCAAGAATATGGAATATAGCCTAGAACTTTTGTCACATAGGCACTCATTAAATATTTCTTGAATTAAATTAAACATCCTAAATGTTCTGCTCTGTTCTTTCAGATTAAAGGGATATAGCGATGTCTCCATATAATAACTAGTTTCATACTGAAGAACAAGCATCTCTTTCATATATTTTAACAAATATTTGCAAAAGTTATTGTGCCAGTAGCAGGTTTGGCGCCTTCTTGAATATATTAAGCCATACTTTGACTTCTTATATTCAATACCCTCAGATATTTTAAAACATTTAAATTTCATTTTCTAAAACATTTTCACACATTTAATTTGACTCTTATAACAACCCATTAGCCTAGACAGTCTAACTTTACAAATGAAGAAATCAAGCCTCAGAGACATGGTCACATACATAATGATAGGGAAAGCAGGGACCACCAATCATGTTTTCACCTCAGCAAACTGGCCTTTGCTATAAAACTACTATCAACAAGATGGTCTAAGATATGCAAGGTACCTTATCAAAGCAATTTTAATATAGCGCATGCTCTCACCTCCAAGTCTTTGAGATTACATCTATTACACCACTGTAAGACATGTGTTGATCCTGAAGACGAGCTCTTATGACTTGATATGGGTATGTTGCTGCGACAGCAAATATTTTGGATAGTGCTGCAACAGATATATATTCTACTGTGCTCTAAAATGGTAACACAAAATAGTTTTTTCTTTAGACAGAATTTCTTTAAAAACACAGAAGTAAAAATTATGTTAAAAAATTTAAATAGATCTTTAAAGAGTTCTATTTTTGACAATTGTGTGGCATTAGCCTATAAATATTTAACTATAAATTAAATCAGTGGCAGAGTCAGTACTCATCATCATAGCACTACCACCAAAGCAAGCATGACAAAAATTTCTATCTACTAAATACCCATAAAAGTAAATGATAACATTTTTACAAGAGTCATCTTACCAACTGAGCTTCTGGTAATCTATTGACATGCTGGTTGTACTTCAACTTCAGCAATTCATATGCCATAAACTGAAGGGCACCGTGTGACGTTCCAAACAGCCCAGGAACAAATCCCTAAAAGGGAATGGTTTTGGAAAAGCAAAACAGTATACTTTCAAAGAACAATATATTTGAGTAAAATACTTTCTCTTCTCTCTCATTATAGCATTTTAAGCAAATTCATTTAAGTTTTGTACAAATAACATTTTTAAAATCTGAGGTTAAAAACTTGTAGTAATATAAAAAACAAAGGGGTACTATTCTACTTTATTTTTAAAGGTTTGGATGTTCATATATTAGTTTTTCTTTAAACAGTATACAAACTGTTTTTCTTGACAGTATACACTGTCAAGACTTGAGGAACAGGAAATTAAATTCTGGAAAGTTAAGAAACTAAGGTGGCTGGGCGAGGTGGCTCATGCCTATAATCCCAAGACTTTGGGAGGCCGAGACAGGCGGATCACGAGGTCAGGGGTTCAAGAGGAACCTGGCCAACATGTTGAAAACCCATCTCTACTAAAAATACAAAAATAATCCAAGCTACTTGGGAGGCTAAGGCAGGAGAACTGCTTGAACTGGGACCCCAGAGGCGGAGGTTGCAGTGAGCTGAGATTGTACCACTGCGCTCCAGCCGGGGCTACAAAGAAACTAAAGGTAATGGTAAATCAATGAACTAAGGATACATATTCTGAAAGACTATGGCAGAGAGGGATGAAAAAACACAAAATTGAATAATATATTTATAGAATTTTTGTCAATAGCTCAGTAAAATCAATGATTTTAAAAGCTATTACTCAATCCTTAAAAACCAAACTGAAATTCAATGCATCTAATTTTGATTTTAAACTATGTATGCCTAAAAATTTCTTTGCGGGGATAAGCAAGAGATGGGAGTAGAAGGTAGAAAAGGGGAAAATAAAAAGGAGTTATAAAATCAGAAAACAGATCTGACACTAGGAAGAAATTTTTAAAATATTACAACAGGCAAAGGGCTGGGCTTGATTTTTGTTATTTTTAAATTTATGTAAGATTTGAGATTAATAAAAAAAACATTTTAAGATCCTGTTAGAACTGCTAATGTCTTCTCCAGACTACATTCTCCCAGGTTCCCAAGAGACCAGAGTTTCCAAGGAATGAAGTATGGAATAGGTGATCTTGTTGTGTGACTTATTAAAAAGATACTTGACAAAGTTTTAGACAGTTCTCACACCCACCAACGTCATGATGATACATTCCATGTTAATGAGGATAAATAGCTTTAAGTACAATTTCAGTATTATTAACTAGATTTCAGTTTTCATTAAATTGTTTCTTGACTAAGTTTGGCTTCTTTTTGGGACTTACTACAGGTCACTCAGAACTAAGACAACAGAGCCAATGGAAATTGCAATTTTCAGTTATTTAAAATATATTGATAATTTGTTACCTTATACAATCCACGCACACCTTCATACTTATATATTTTCACAAGTGTATCAAACATTCCTTTATACTGTCGGTGTGGGGAGTTAACAACAGCATCATACTGTAACATAAGGCGAGTTTTTGTTACCCATAATGGGTTTGTAATGCAGAGGGTCATGGCTCCTAAAATGAGATTTCAATAAGATTATTCAGCATACAGATACTTTCACACTTATGACAATCCAAATTAAAAATAGTACATTTATGTTAAAAAGAAAAAAGATAATGCACAGAGACCATATCTGAAACTATATAATGCAGTCTCTGAGGCACAGTTTTAAGGTCAAAGGATTAAGTTCCTCATGCAGTTAGTGAGACGTAAATTAAAAGGTGTAAATGTGAAATGCTTTCCTTTTGAGGTGTAAGGATAGCAAAAATGTCCTGACCCCTAAACAACATGGCCAGGTGCAGAGAACAGAAGGTAAGCAGATACAGATCTTAGGTATAGCACATGGTATAACACAGAGGTGTTGAAGATAGGGGAAAAGGACCAGGAATCTGGCACCCCAAGACCCTGTGCATGCGACACACATATCTACCCCAACTTTATCATAGTCTTCTTCAAATCCATTCAAAGTAACTACTATCCCTCATAAATTAAATAATTATGTAATATAGTAAGTCACATTTTACATCCATTATAGAGACTGATAATTTTATAAAAAAAATTAATCTGGTTAAGTTTCTTATTTGCTAGGTTTCGTAAGGAATCCTTTATTCAACAAATATTTAGACTCGTTATGACTCAGGTCTTTGCTAAGTGGCTATGTATTAAAAAGTGAGTAAGTTAGTTTTTGCCTAATCAAACATTAAGAAATCAAGGTATTAAAGTAGGAGTTACAAAGACTGATGACTCTTACTTTGTTTTTTCCTTTTGGATAGTATACATAAATGAGGTGATTAAACAAGGATGCTAAATTGTATAATTTGAAAACTACAATTATACTTTAATTAAAGTAAAATTCTTGAAATCTGAAAAGAGTAATCATAAGAATTCCTGCTAAGAAATTCCATATAACTAATTTAATACAGTTAGGCATATTTAAGCTCAGGTGTTCAAAGAAAAAAAATCAGAAGCAAAAACTGAAAATTAAGTTTGGAAGGTGACATTTTTATATTTCACACACGGCCTTACCAGCTTCAGCAGCTGAGACAAGGTATTCTGTTGCCTCTAACCTCTGTTCAGCTCTTCCTTCTGTCTTATATGACTTGATGGCATTGTAACTAAAAGAATTAAATGCAAGCAGTTTAATTTGAATAGGTGTCATAAAGTCTGTTTTAAAGTGTAACGCAACACCAGTACTTCCAAAGCAAAAGTCAATGCATAATGCAACCACAAAATGAGACCTTTTTCAAGAATGGATTTGCTGGAAGTGGTTTACTGCAAGATTATACCACCCCTTCCTCTTAAATAAATAGGGCTATCAATACAAATGTAAAATATTTAAATCAGACACTCATCGATTACTTTCAAAAGACAGGAAAACTGGGAGGAGTGGAGAATATAGTGGTGGTACACAGACTGGCCAGAAAAGACAAAAGATACCAAAGAAGGGGTACCTAACAAATATATACTGAGCACCCATGTTCAGGTACTATAGTTGAGTTTCTGACAGATAAAAAGATAAATGTGATTTTTTTCTTAACAAACTAATAAGGACTATTAAATGATCATAATAAAAGACAACAGACAATAGAAGATATTCAGGAATTATGACTGAGATCACAGAAGGCTTTGTGTAAAAGGTAGTATTGAACTGGGTATTGAGACAGGCACAGTTTCAACAGGGAAAGGATCAGCATGGTGAAAAGGAGTAAGGATGGGTGGGAAGAAAGAGAAAACTGGCCACTCTTGAGTGGCAGATTGAGATTTGGGTTTTATTTAGTAGAAAATCCCCATTAAATGTTTCAGAGTAAGGGAGTCAAATCAGCCTATTTCCTTTAATGCTAATTTCTACTTTTCTCTTGGATGAAGATGTCAAGTGAGCACATTCTTCTTTTCTTTTTTTCAGAGACAGAGTCTCACTCTATCACCCAGACTGGAGTGCAGTGACACAATCACAGCTCACTGTAACCTTGAATTCCTAGCTTCAAGCAATCCTCCTGCCTCAGCCTCCCAGTTAGCTAAGAATACAGGGATGCACATCATGAAGCCAGACTAATTCTTTTAAAATTTTTGGAAGAGATGGGTCTCACTATGTTGCCCAGGCTGGTCTTGAACTCCCAGACTCATGTGATCCTCCTGCCTTGGCCTCCCAAAGTGCTGGGATTACAGGTGTGAGACACTGCACCTGGCCCAAGAAATTCTTATCATGCCAATTTTATATTAATATGACTTATCCTTAGAAACTGTCTTGATGAATCTATACAACTCAAATTCATAAAGCATTATATATGTATGTGCATGTGTGTCAAGGGGTGTGTGTGTATATAATTTCACACATACCTCTCTAAAGAGAAGAAAAAGAGAAAAAATATTTGAACAATTTTAAGGCTGAATTTTATTTTGCTTTCACTTAAAAAATATTTTAAGATTGGTTTGGATACCACCACAAATTTATGTGAGATCAAGTAAAATATGTGACACAGAGAAGACAAAGGCAAATACACTAGATATGATGTTTTCCTAAAAACAAAACCTGTTGAAGCAAAGAAAAGCTTCACCATTCATGGTTTCAGTTTCACAGATCAGAGGCATGCTCTGAGCAGCACATTATCCCTCAATGCAGTGCCAGGATATGTTGTGACCATGCTCTTGTTCACTAAATAAGCATACGCCTGCCAGAGCATCCTTCTATGACTTCTTCAGGAGGCAGGTGAGAGCGGTTATTTTAAATGATTATGTTATCTGACCGGTGAAGGAGTAAGGAAAGAAATGAGCTGGAAAGATGATGGGGCAGGTCATACAAGAAACAATTTGCCTCAAACCCTTTTGTCCATGCACTGGCTTTTGCTTTCTGTTCCCAACAGGGATTTCCTGTGGTACATATTCATATGAGGACCCCAAGGTCTATCCTCTCCTGCTTTTCTACTTTCATCATAAATCAAATATATCTTTGTAAGCCATCTTAAATATTTTGGGAATCTGGATGAGGATAAACAAGTAACTAATGATACTTCAGTATTTATGAAATTTTCTATTTGGGGTACTCTGGAACTAATCTCTGACACATGGAGAAAATAACTTATTTATTTAAACAATCTTCTTTATCAAAATTGAATACCAAAGAGAACTGAAATCTATAAGATTAATTTTAGACAACAGTTGCAGGCTCCTCTAGTCTCTATGACACTTTCCAAAACCACTAATAAATAACAAACCGACCGATTCAACTTTTTCTAGTCTAGTCATATTTTGACTCTACTAGAAAGGCTTAAGAGTACACACTGATATGGCCAAAACACCTAATAAAACACCGAAGGGGCCCTATAATTTCATTGTGAGTTATCTGGAGTCAGCTGTTTTTCAAATGGCTTTAACTAAAGTGAAAAGCTCCCTTTAATATATATTTAGCTTACAAAAGTAATCAGTCAAACATTTCATCTTCCTGAATTCACCTCACAGAAATGGCTTCTGTAAGAATATTATTCCACCTCATCTCTTCACCTTTTTTCTATTAAGAACTTTCTTCCAGACTAAATAAATGCCTCTAATAATAGCTAATAAGCCATTAGCCATTATCTGAAGCATCTGATAATCAAACTAATAAGCCACTTTGAATCAAACTAATCAAACTAAGTCATTTTGTTCTTTCTGATCCTTCCAATTCAGAGAAACTGATTAAATGACTCATGTTTCATTATGACATGTAAAAAAAAAAAATCACTAAAAACAAAAATTCCTTTTTTTATTTAATACTGTAAAACCTCCCAAATCTACTCACAAGAAAAAGTAGAGTCCCCAGGATAAACCTGCACCCCACACATTTGGGGTGACTCCTTGATAAAGTCCCCGGAGTCCATCGAGTTTCCAGATGGTAGTCAGGCAATGTAAAATCCCTTTATATTTCGGTCTCAGTTCCAATCCATCACTCACTGCATTAAAGGATGCACAAAGTCAGGTAAGAACAAAGTTCTAGCTTCGTATCACATATAAACACAGATATTGCACAATCAGTTATATAAAGGAGATAAACTTAGAAGAAAAACTTTTTTAGGTAGTAGAAAAATTATTTTCCAGGCTTCAGTGTTTTAAAACTACTACATTCCTCAAATTATTCAAGTGTTTATTTAGGGCATACTAAGCACTCAAATAATATTTTAGGAAATATTAGCTTAGCTCAAATAATCTGAAAGTCTCTTAGATAACTAGGTTTCAACACTTAGGTTTTTTTTTTCTCCAAGGTTAAGGATTCTAATGTTAAAAAATAAACTAGCCAGGAGCCTCAATTATATCAAGTACTAGCAAGACCTGAGGAACGGCAGGAAAGAAAATGCAGAGGATGGGGTAAATTTTCTTCCTGGAAATTCTTCCTATCCTCTCCACCAAAACATATTGAAATCCAAGTAGAAAGTAGCAAAGTATTTCACTTGAACATATCCAAAATTGAATAAGTTTTCCCCATCCCTTCTGAAGCCGCTCTTACTGTTGAGCTGTATAGCTCAACAAACGAGGTCATCATCTACATAGATGCCCACACCAGATATCCAGGGACTATCCATGAACCCTCCTCCCCCATCCCTTTTTATCAAATAACAAGTCTTTTTGATTCTGTCTCACAAATATCTTTTGCATCTGTCTACATCTCTCAGTTCACACTGCCATCATCCTACTTTGAGAAACCATCAGTTTTCAACTAGCATTATCAGCATTTAGTCTTCTTGCCAATTTTGTAAAAAATATAATCTAGGTTATAAATGTCTTAGTTTTTCATTTCATTTCTCTGTAGGAAATAGAAAGCACATTCAAAATAGGATAACTCTAGGGCATGAGAAGCAGCTAAAAGGACTATTTACAAAGGTGTGAGTAGGCTGTAGAAAACCACAAGGAATAATACAGTATCAATTATTTATTTGCTATTTTTTTAAAAAATCACTTAATTCTAGGAGTATTAAGTATCTCAGTAATTGGCAATGACATTCCACATTATGCATGCCATTCTATGTTATACTGTAGTATATCCAAAATTATAATTTTACTATAGTTTTGTATATAGTTTTGTTTTCCACTCAAGATTATTTGTGAGCAGTTCTCCTTGTTATTCAATAGATTTCCCAAAAAAAGATTTTTAGTATATAACATCATGGTTTTCCATCTTATAGAAATCACATCATTTACACAGTCATTCCACCATTTGACATGAATTCTCTTTTTCTGGCTATTATAAGAAGTTCTCAAAAGAACATTCTGTACAAGAATCTGCATGAATGATTATTGTCTTGGAATTAGCTATTAGAAAGGGAAACTGTTACAGGTTAATGGGTATACACTTAAGTTACAAATACATACTGAACCTGCCTTCCAGAAAGTTTATACAAATTATACTCTGCTAGCCATAGTGGCATCCCCGGTTCACTGTCCCCTTCACTGTCCTACTTCACTGTGTATAATCCAGTCTGGCGAAGAAGAATGACTGTTTACCATTTGCAGGCAAAGGGGGAAAAGTCAATTTCTTTCATCATTAACCTGCCAATGTTACAGCACGAAGTGAGATTAAAGTACATCAGGTTTTATCAGTACACCTGAGTTTGATATGTAACTTCCCTAATTCGTTACATGGTCTTATCCTTTCTGAGCTTCAGCATCCTCACTTATAAAATGTGGATAAAAGTCATGTACCTCACAGGGATTTTTGAGGTTCATATAAGACAACAAATTTAAAGGCAGGCAGCAGAATGACAGGCTCTTGAGAAATGTTTTCCTGCGTAGTTGGTAATCTTTCTGATGCTTCCCCTGGATTCTCTGCGTCTCATTCTTCTGTATAGATCCCTTTTTCTAAGAACTTTCCATTTTCTTCTCAATAATAAACTCATAATACCACTTCTCTCTTGAGGTAAAAAGCAAAACCAACCATTAAAACACCACCTGTTCTTTTCATAGGTATAAACCAAGGCTGAACTAGGATCTCCCTAACATAAAATTAAAATTATATAGATAAAATACAGTGAATTTTTTTGGTCTAAATCAGGGGTCCCCAACTCCCTATACCAATCAGTTATCTGCTAGGAACTGGGGCACACAGCAGGTGAGTGGTGTTAGCAAAGTTTCACCTGTACTTATGGCCGCTCCCCATCCCCTTGTATTACTGGAACTCTGCCTCCTGTCAGATTAGTGGTGGCATTAGATTCTTAACACAATCACAAACCCTACTGTGAACTGCACATGCAAGGGATCTAGGCTGCACGCTCCTTAAGAGAATCTATTGCCTGATGATCTGAAGAGGAAAATTTTCATCGTGAAATCAACCATACCTCCTCTACTCTCATCCATGGAAAAATTGTCTTCCATAAAACCAGTCCCTGGAGCCAAAAAGGTTGGGGACCACTGGCCTAAATGACCTCATGATTGTTCTAAAAATATCTGCCGCTAACCAATTAGTGTGTAGATCTAATCATCTATCACATAATTTACAATGGCTTATCATAGCACTAAAAATTGCCGATAGACACAAGCTGAAGATAAAAAGTTTGGTGTACAGAAAGGAGCCAAGACAGGACACTCATTTTAAATTCATCTTCTAAGAAAGACTTAATATAATGACTTAAAAAATTACCACCTAGCACCATCACCCTAACACAACCTGTTTCATTTCCTGGATATTAGTTTTACCTCTGCTTTGTCTCTTTTCATAAAAGTAATACCCTCTACCTGTGCTCTATATTGGTGATTTTAAAGTTCCAGATGAATCAAGAAACTAATTGAGCAGACTGCTAGTATCTTTTCTTCAAAACCAGACTGGAATAGAAAACAAATGTAAATGACATCACAAGTAGTTAGGATAAATATTGTTTCATGAAACGTGTGTTTCAGTAACGTTTGTGTATGTATGTGTATGCACTGGGTAGCAAAGGTGAAAGTTATTTCTGGCCGAAAAGGCTTGTTCTAGATCCTGTTCCTTCAGACAACCCCCCTTAGTTAGATGCCTTATCCTTATCCTCCGGCCTCTATTTCCCAGTCTCTACCCTGCTTTAAGTTCTTTCCCATTAGTATTTAAACAAGCTTAAAGCTCTCCTATTTACTCTTTGATCCCAGTGCCTCCTTATCAGTTAAATGTCTGCAGTGAGAAAACACGTCCCTCCCAGCCCACTCCAGACAATCTCAGCAGGAACTCTCTCACCTCCAAGGCAATCTGGTTTGAGCTTTACCAATTACTTCAAGCACTCTAATTAAGAAACCTTCAAAGGCACTTTGGAGACCTCTTTCTTAGGAACCCTTATCAGCACCTGAAAGTGCTTATCTCCTAAATCCCTCTCCTCTGGCTCATTTAACACCGCACCATCTTCAATGTCCTCTTGCTTCTTTGCCACTAAATTTCCTTCCATCCCTCTTCTCTGCCCATCCTTAGACGCTGATTTTTATATGCACAATTTCCATCAAATAGAGGTGGTCTCTCAACCGGTGGCTTCAACTACCATCCTGGTGCTACATTCTGGATCTTATTCCTAACATCCTGCCCCACTAAGGGTTCTGATCCTACTGCCTGTTTCCATTTTTCACAAAAGACATGCCAGCTTCTTAACTTTCTGGAATCATTCTTTATTTTCATCTCTATCATTTTAATTTACGCTTTAGCTATACAAAACTACCCACTCATGGTTTCAAACTAACAGCATATGTTATGGAAAAAGACTTTCTGAGCTTGAATCCTAGTTCTAGCAATTACTTTGCAACCTTGAGTAAGTCATTGGATTATTCTGTGCCCGAATTTTTCCGTTAAGATAGAAAAAATAATGGCAACTCTAAAAATTACAAAGGATTAAATGAGTTAGTTCATATAAAGCTCTTAGAATTATGCCTGACATATTTCAAGCACTCAATAAGTACTAGTTTATTTATGTCACTGGGTCTTGCAATACCACATACGTATAAAATTTTACTCTGCACTCCTGTTACTGAATTTTACATTTTGGTTCCTTAATGTTTTGGGTATAGTCATACTCTCCATATTCTTCACAAAAGCTCACGCATATCTTTAACTTGCAAATGATCAGGTTTTTGGGTTACTTAGAAAATTACTGTACCTCATTCTCATTCTTTTGTTGGGGCGCTCTCATCATTCTTGAGGGTTTAACATTACATCGTAAAGTTAGAAGGAGTCTCAGTAGTCATCTAATCCAATCTTCCCACCTAGTACAAGAGTATCTTCTAACTTCTGTCATCCAGCTGCTATCTGAACCACTTCTAATCATCATCAGTTTCATTTCTGAGCACTACCACACTACCAAACCAAAATCTGCTTCCCTGTAATTTCCACTCAACTTGTGTCTGACCTTAGGATCAACATAAGGTAGCCCCCTTTCCCCACGTGGAAGTTCTCTAAATATCTTGAGGTTTTTTTCTCTCCTGAGCTAAACTAGTTCCTCCAGTTATTTTTCATATGAATTAATTTCTAATCTTTCTACCACTCTGGACACCTCTGAGTTCCAATTTTTACTTGAACTCACAGAAAAATTCCAGGTTTGGTTTAATAGCACATGCATTCAGAACCTGTCATCATTAGATTTTAATTTTATTAAATGAGTTTGATTACAATGGAAGCATAAGAACTATAGGAAGTTATTCAGCATTGATGCTGTAATCAATAAATTTTTATTTGTTATTCATCTTCCTAAATTTTCCTCCTTTCTATCACCATTTCACAGCTACACTGCGAGCTTTATTATACAAACTCCTGCTTCAATGCCTAGATCTTTAATTTAGACCTCCAACCCAATCCTTTTATCTGCCACCTCAGCCCCACTAGTCTCCAAGTACTCTTCCCAATTCATCAAGACTACTGATTTTCTCAGGTAAGAAGAATACTGTTTCCTCAGGAATGCTATGCTTCACAGCACTGTCTTAAACTCATCAGACCAATCACACTATTCTTCAATGATCACCTCGACTACCATCTCTTCTGCTCCTAAATAAAATGCTGCTGAAGAGAGACACCAAGTTATACAGGCCTGCACCTGCAGCCAAGTCTAAAATTCTTCTAATGTTCAAACTATTACATAACAGGGACTTGAAGAGGCAGGGTGGTGAGGAGTTAAATGCCAGGGGGTTCCAGAGTTAGATTACCTGGGTTTAAATCCCAGATCCATCTTTACAAACTTGTGACTCGGGCAAATTAGTCAACTTCTGTTATCCTCATCAGTATAGCAGGGATCATAAACTCACAGGACTGTTCCTATGAATAGATTTACAGGATAATAAATGAGATAATACATCTAAAACACAGTTCATTGCCTTGCTCCTAGTAAATAAAGATTACTTGTCAATAATTATTTGTGCATGCATCATAAAACTTCATAAAATTATATGCCTTTGTGATGTTTTTTCTAGGGATAATACGCCATAATTTTCGATGAGTTTTCTTCATAGATTGGCTTCTTGCCTCCTCTGCACCTGTCAAAATATTAGCCCTTCTATGGGAAACCCAAGCCCCAATCTTCCATTGAACCTTTAAAGATACATATGATCATCAGCAATGTAGAATTTTCTTGACGGTTTATCTGTATTTGTATTTCCTGATTTTATGTCGTCTAGAATTACCTTTTATCTAAGTCTAACGTCTACAATTAAATTCTAAGTTCCCTGAAGACAAGAACTTTATTAGATACTTCTGTAGCCCATAGAGCAGTCTACGCACATTAAGAGAATATACAGCAAGTGATATGAATTACCTAACGCTAAGATAAACAACTGTAGATTTAATTCTTAAGGCAGAACTTGTATAACTTTATTTGAAAACTATTTTCTGCAATTTCAGTTATCAAAGATCATCTTTAAAACTCTTTCCAGACTTTAGAGTTTAACTTCTAAAATGCTTTTTTTTTAATTTCAAATAATTCATCTAATACACTTAAAACAGTATTTCGATTCTAGCTACCTATTCTTTCACAGGACCTTGTACCGTTCTATAAACGACAAAAACCAAACATTCAAGAGAATTCTATTCCAAATCTACTCCCAACATTAGCTGAAGATTACGCCGTATCCCAACACTGGTGGAGCTGCCAAACCACGTGGCTAAGATTTCAAAGTTCCTCCAAGAGTGAATGATTTGCACGTGTGAGGAATAAACCCTAAAATGTGACAATCTCTTCTTTATTTTACAAATCAGGAATTGCATCCCATCTCCCCTGCCAATGAGGATGATTTTTTCTCATACTTCTATACATACAGGCCCCATCCCTTAGTCTTGAGGAGCAAGGAAGATCGCACGCCGACCCCTCTACAAAGCACCGTTTCCTCCAATCTATTTCAGGTGAGCCAGGGCGCACAGCATCCCCTTCAACGATCCTCCTTCTCCGAGTGCGGAAAAGGCAGAGGAGACCAAGGCCTCTTTCTGAATCTTTACCACTGAATTCAGGCTGACAGTGACAGGAAGCAGCCCGGTGTCTGGGTGGGCTCTTACCAGCGAAGCGGATCTTCACGAGGTCGAGCGGGTGCAGCGCAAGGTTGGACAACACGCCGCCGCTCACGCCAGCTACCAGGTTCTCATAGCGGACGTGGCGGAATACCGTGCTCCACGCCGACGACCCGGAGGCCGACTGGCCCTGGCCCGTCATAGGCTCGGGGCCCGCCGATACCACGGCGCCCAGGGCCGCGGAGGTGGGACGAGATGCTGTGGCCGCCACCGTAGTAGCGGTCGCCCCTTGTGAGGGCAAGCCCACCTCCGGGACAGGCGAGAGGGCTCTGACGCCCACGGCGCGGGAGCCAAGCCGCGAGAGTCTGGTACTGAGGGGGCGTGAGTGGGGCACAGCCACCAGGTCACGCCGGCGGAAATAGCGTTGGAGGGGAAGCGCCAGCCTCAGCCGAGTCTCCGCCCTGCCTCGCCCACAAATGCTCCAGCTGTCGAACGCGGAAGAGACCGCACGGCTAAAGAACCGGCCGCTGCTAGCGCAGGACGGCGAAACTACGGAGCGTCGCAGGATCCAGCTAAGCCAGCCAGCGTCCGCTCCGCGAGTCACGTGACTGGAAGTAGTCTGAGAGAAGCAGAAGTCGCCTGTGGGAGGAGGCGGCGGTGGGCCGAACTCATATGAAAGCCCTCGTGGAGTTCGGCCGGAAGAGCAAGCAAGATGAAGGTGAAGATGCTGAGTCGGAATCCGGACAATTATGTCCGCGAAACCAAGTTTGACTTACAGAGAGGTAAGATAAGTTGGTAGCGAGAAAGGGAAGCTTCCCGCCAGTCTTTGGGTCTAGCCTGGGCTTACACAGAGTAAAGCCAGGGGAGGCTGGCGCTCCAGTCTGGTTCTTTCCCAGTTCCCTTTTCGCTAAGGCAAACTTTGTGCTTACAGGGTCGATGCGGAACTGGATAGCAAGTAAAATCTGTTCAAGTCCTTTTTTCTAAGAATTTCCTCTAGTGGTGAGTGGGAAATAGTTGTCTACAGTGGAGGAAGATTCCAGCTGCTGCTCTAGGTATTGTCTTCAGGTTCCTATTATTGAAAAGTGGGCTTGAGGCCGGGCGCGGTGGCTCACGCCTGTAATACCAGCACTTTGGGAGGCCGAGACGCGTGGATCACGAGGTCAAGAGATCGAGACCATCCTGGTCAACATGGTGAAACCCCGTCTCTACTAAAAATACAAAAAATTACCTGGGCACGGTGGCGTGTGCCTGTAATCCCAGCTACTCAGGAGGCTGAGGCAGGAGAATTGCCTGAACCCAGGAGGTGGAGGTTGCCGTGAGCCGAGATCGCGCCATTGAACTCCAGCCTGGGTAACAAGCGAAACTCCGTCTCAAAAAAAAAAAAAAAAAAAAAAAAAAAAAAGAAAAGAAAAGAAAAGTGGACTTGAATGAGTCAAACTCATGGGTTGAAGGGTTAAGAGTTAAACAGCCTTTTAAAACCTTCCTACTGCTCTTCTTGTCACTTTACTACTTTATGTTCTGGATGTTGGAAGAGACGAAGTTAAATTTAAAAGCATCACTTTTCTCTTACCATCCCTTATGAAGTTTGATGAAAGAATGGTTAAAGTGAAATTAATGAGTTTTCTTTATCCTTACTGGTCTCTTCCTCCATTAATATGCTAACCACTTATTAATTGTGCCTGGTAATACCTAAATGATAAGGGGCTAATCGTGCATGAGCAGATTGTTCTAGTAAAGAGAATAACAGGAGCAAAGGTCTTCAGGCAGGAATGAACCTAAGGCATGGAAAGAAGGACGTTGTCATTAGACTTTTAACGAGGAGTAAGAGAGATGAGATGAGGTGAGAACAGTACTTCACTATTTTGGTTTAACAGTAGTTATTATCAACATGTATGTCAGCATTGGTAAGAGGTCTCTGCTCACAAGATGTTTACAGTTTGTCACAAGGCAGTAATATTTCTAAAATATAAGTTAGATTTATCACTTGGACTTGACATCATTCCCAAACGTTGAATCTCTGGTCCCACTTTCCTTGCCACTTTCGTCAGTCACTATGTTTCCCACAAGTGGTTTATTTAGTATTCACCCTTGCCAATCTCAGTGCATTTCAGTTATCTTTTTTAAGGCTTCCTGTGACACACACCCTTATGCAATTTAGCTGCTTTCTCTGGAAAACTTTCACTGAACAATCTTTTCATACTTAACTCCTGGATGTGCTCAGCTCCCTTCAGCACCGGTCTTCTATGATTCTATCACTTCATCACAGTGTTTATCACATTGTCTCATAATGATTATTTTGATTAATAGGCTTTCCCATCAGACTTCACTTACAAAACGGGGAAGAATCATGTTTGTGTATGAACTGTGTTTAGGCAGCACCTGGAACATAATAGTTGCTTTATAAATGTCAGTTTCTCCATCTATAAAGATTCATTTTTGGCTGGGCGTGGTGGCTCACACCTGTAATCCCAACACTTTGGGAGGCCAAGGTGGGTGGATCATGAGGTCAGGAGTTCAAGACCAGCCTGGCCAACATAGTGAAACCCCATTTCTACTAAAAACACAAAAAATTAGCCAGGCATGGTGGTGGGTTCCTGTAATCCCAGCTACTTGGGAAGCTGAGGCAAAAGAATCGCTTGAACCTGGGGGATGGAGATTGCAGTGAGTCAAGATTGTGCCATTGCACACCAGTTCGGGCGACAGTGCAAGACTTCGACTCAAGAAAAACAAAAAAAGATTCATTTTTGACCACATGAAGAGATTTAGAAACAAAATGTTCTATCTTGTTGGAGTTACTAAACTTTGGTTAAAATTATTAAAATGCTAAATTTAGTTGTAGGAATAGCTGCTGACATCAGAATAGATAGAAATTTTGTAGACTTAAATTTCAAAAATAACCTTTGCATAACTAATGGATGAGACTGAAAATGAAATATATTAAATAAATATAGCCAGCTGTGGACATTATCATTTTGGGTATGCTTGTCTTTGTGAAGTACAGGCATTCTGCACTTTGCACAGTACCATATTAACTGAACCAATCCCACTCTTTGAGAGGTTTACAGTGATTGAAGTAACCACTGTTAACCACAAAACTTTGCAAAGTAAGGAATTGGTTCCAGTATTCATGTCATCCTATTAACACAGTACTGTGTGAAAGTGAGTACTGCCTGAATCTTTTTTATAATAGTAGCCATTAAAACCAAACATTGAATTAAGCAGAAATTAGAACCTTTAAATCTATCACAGTGTCAAATCAAGATTTTTCTTAAAAAAAGAACGTCTTTAATTACACGCTCTCATTAATATTCACATAGGTTGAGGAGAAGGGATATGCTCAGAAACTGTTACTAATGGGACACACAGAAAGTTTGAAGACGTACAGGGAGCCTTTGAAAGTTTTAAGCATGGGAGTGACATGTAAAAAGCTGTTTTAAGATGACTGATAATAGTGTAAACTGCCCCCACCCTCAGTAGGGAAGATATTACAGTAGCCTAAGTATAATGTAATAAAGACCCAAACTGGCTGGGGATGCAGTGGCTCACACTCATAAACCCAACACTTTGGGAGGCAAAGGTGGGAGGATCACTCGAGTCTAGGAGTTTAAGACAAGCCTGGGCATCATAAGGAGACCCCATCTCTGTAAAAAACGTAAAGATTAATGGGGCACAGTGGTGCATGCCTGAGGCCCAAGCTACTTGGAGGCTGAGGTGAGAGGCTAAGTTAGGGGGATCACTTAAACTCCTGGAGGTTGAGGCTACAGTAAGCTGTGGTCACACCACTGCACTCCAGCTTGGGTGACAGAGTGATACCCCATCTCAAAAACAAAAACAAAACACTAACTTCCTAGAAATAGAGAGTTAAAGGGAAAGATGAATAAGCGTTTGAAAGAGAGGATGAGTGGGACTTTGAGTTTTGGTAGTAGGGAATATGGAAGATGGAATACATAAGAACGACCTAAGTAAGAGCTTTGTTGAATGTTAGATATAATACCATTACCAGGGAGTCAGAAAGAAACAGCAAGGTGAAGTCATGAGGTAAGAAGATGCATTTACTTTTTACACAGTGAGTTTTTTAGACATATGAGCTTAAAGTTACTTTCTTTTTTTTTGAGACGGAGTTTTGCTCTTGTTACCCAGGTTGGAGTGCAATGGCGCGATCTCGGCTCACTGCAACCTCCGCCTCCTGGGTTCAGGCAATTCTCCTGCCTCAGCCTCCCGAGTAGCTGGGATTACAGGCATGCGCCACCATGCCCAGCTAACTTTTTTGTATTTTTTTTTAGTAGAGATGGGGTTTCACCATGTTGACCAGGATGGTCTCGATCTCTTGACCTCGTGATCCACCCGCCTTGGCCTCCCAAAGTGCTGAGATTACAGGCTTGAGCCACCTCAAATGCTTTACGCGGCTGGCCCAAAGCATAATTATTAACTGAGACAATGTGTTTAGCAGCGTATCAGGACAGTTAAAACATTGATTCTGCTTTGGGAGGCCGAGGCGGGTGGATCACGAGGTCAAGAGATCGAGACCATCCTGGTCAACGTTGTGAAACCCCGTCTCTACTAAAAACACAAAAAAATTAGGTGAGCATGGTGGCGCGTGCCTGTAATCCCAGCTACTCAGGAGGCTGAGGCAGGAGAATTGCCTGAACCCGGGAGGCGGAGGTTGTGGTGAGCCGAGATCGCGCCATTGCACTCCAGCCTGGGTAAGGAGCGAAACTCGGTCTCAAAAAAAAAAAAAAAAAAAAACATAGATTCTGGAGCCATACTGCCTTGGTTTGAATCCTGGCTCCATAATGTCATATCCAAGTTACTTAACCTCTTTATGCCTCAGTTTTCCCATCAATAAAGTGTGAGATAGTAATATAACTTAACACATAGGATGTTGTGGAGATCAAATGATTAAGGTTTTTGGAACAGTGCCTGACACCTGGTGAACTCCTATGTGAGTCTTTTTGAAGTAAGTAAACAAACATAGAAAGTGTTCAGTAAATAATAGCTATATAATAGTATGATAATCACAACCTAGTGTGCCTATCAGTACAGAATTTAGCACCAGAGTTTAATAATGTTCCCTGCCCCACAGGAAGCTTAGAGTTCTGTTGAGCAAACATCTTGCACATGTTTTGTGCCAGCAACTGTGCTAGGCATAAGGAAATACAAAACAAAAATGTATTAGAAGCTCCGACAGTGAACACTTAGAACCCAGTTGAAGAGCATACTAGGAAATAGAGGGAAAGGCTGCGTGTGTGTGTGTGTGTGTGTGTGTATGTATATGTATATGTATGTGTATATATATATATATATGGTCTAATTGTTTTGCAAGATGTATGCATCCCTTGATTTTCCAGTAATTTCAGAAAGGTTTCTGGAAAACAGGTCTTCTACTTT